GTTTTGATCATCTATTGACTGTTATGCACAGTAGTTGAATAAATAGTCAAAGATATAGTTCAAGAACACTTCTTACTGCTTTTGTTGTATTTAAATTATAAGGAAAGTCATTTTCTATTAGATTTATTAAACCAAAAACTTGATGTATCTAATTATGTGTTAATTTTTTTCCACTGTTGTTCCTATTTTTATAGATGGTATTTGTATCTTTGGGTGCACCAAGAAGAGAACGGAAAGGAGAAGGTGTTCAACTGCCAGCATCTTGCCTACCACCCCCACAGAAGGACAACATTCCGATGCTTTTGCTTTTACAGGAACCTCATTTAACTACTCTTTTTGATTTATTAGAGATGCTTGCATCATTTAAACCACCCTCAGGAAAAGTGGCAGTTGAAGATAGTGAGGTGACTATATCATTTCATTTTCACAAAATCTTTTGTCTTTCTGTTGAGTAGAAAATAGTTTTCTTAGTAGTCTCTTCAAGGCAATAAAACCTAGTAATCCATTTATTCATTCATTAACTGTTTAAGTGCCTAATATCCAGGCATACAGTTTTAAGTATTATTTTATAAGGATCTAAATAGGCACAGTTTTAGCCTTCATTGAATCTAGTGGGGAAGACAGATAACGATATCCTTAACAGATAAAATAGTTCCAAGTAAACTAACAAATCACTAGTTTCCGGTAGAAATAGCCGCTGTGACTGAAGCATAAGGGACTGGTTATAGAGACCCATTTATATTGGTTAGGGCAGGTTTCTCAGAGGGATACCATACATAATTGGAGCCTGAAGGATAAAAGGAGCCTACTAAATGAAGAAAATGAGAAATGATCTGGATAGAGTAATCTGATTCCTGAAGCCCTTAATATAAGAAGGCAGGTCTGGGAATTGTTAGAGGGCTAGGAAATAAGAGTGTGGAGGGTGGTGGGAGAGTGAAATGAGAGGAATGAGACTGAAGAGATAAGCAGAGCCAAACTGGCCATTACAAGCCATTTTCAGTTTACCCAAAGTGAAGTGGACAACACTAAAGTATTTTAAGCAGAGGGAGAGACATATGTTCAGATTTTTGTTTTAAAATGGTAAGTTTGTTTTGGCAAGAATTTAAAAAAGCAGTAAGGAACCTAACAATTAGTCCAAGGAAGAATACCATCTTTTTAGTGATCCCCACAAACTTACTTCTCCAGACCAAACCTCAATCCTTTGAGTTCCATACTTATATATCCAATTGCTTTCTTGATGCCTCTACTTGATGTCCCACAGGCATCTATTCTTCTTCATCACAAATGGAAACCACCCAGTTGCTCAAGCCAGAAATCTGTACACCGTCTGTTTTCCTTTCTGAACTAGAGCCTATCCTTTCTCCTAATCCAATCTGCCATCAAATTATGTTGTTTTGACCTGTTGTCCACTTATTTCCACTGCCACCATTCTGTTTGAGGCACCATCAACTCTTTCATGGAAGAATAATAATTTTGAGACTGAGTGGCAAAGAAAATAGTGGTGCTTTTATGGCTCTCCTATGTTAGGCGAACTGTTCTTTCTTTTTCAAGAATGATAAGTGAATTTTTTCTGTGTTTCCAAAATGTGTTTGGTTGTGAATGCTGTTGTAGCTGCTGTTGGGTTGTCTGTTCCTCATAGCCTCATTTCTCTTGTGGTGGGAAGCTCTTAATTCTTAAGAAATGCATTTTTTTCATGCAGAATAATCAATAATAGATGACCATGAACCTCCATTTCCTCACCTTTTAAATTTTATGCTGTGAATATTTAATGACCTTTTACTTCATGTCAGCACTGTACTGTCAGTTTAAAAGAGAGAAAGGTAATTACAAGAATCCCAGTTTTCCAGGCAGAGGGTAATAGCTCAGTGGTAGAGTACATGCTTAGTATGCATGAGGTCCTGGGTTCAATGCCCAGTACCTCCATTAAAAAAAAAGAATCCACTAATTTTCCAAGAGGATGTTAATGTTCTGTGCAGTGTATGTTAAGGGAACAAAGGGAGGAAACAAATCTGGGGACAATTTCCTCAAAAGAGGAATTGTTTAAATTGGGTCCAGCTTCTGTTAAAGAGGGAAGAGAGGCATTGCAGATTCAAGGAAAAGTGAATGGCATAATTGAAAAACTGGGAGTGTGAGTATAGTGTAATTAAAATACAGGGTCTGAAAGGGAGATTGTAACCTATACCACAAAGGACCTTATGAGATTTTTATTCTTTGTAAAATGGATTGCCATTTTCATGGAATGTTTTAAAGCAACAAAATGAGATCTTTTCTGGACTTTTACAAATAAAGTTGAGGTGTTAGTGTGGGAGTTATATTGAGAAAACAAGGACTAGAGGTAGCAGGACCGGTTAATAGGCCATTGTATAATTGTCGTTGTGAGGCCTAAACCAGAGAGAAAGCATTCATTTATTGGCAGATATTTTATTAGACTTTGTGACAAGAATACTGCTGTTGATGTGAAGTTTCTGTGTTATTACAAGGCTGATTGAGTCTTGAAGAGGATTACCAAAAAAGTAAAGGATCTTCGCTGGATATGACCCCTATTTTATAGTGCCTTTCAGTCATAGCACAGAACATAGTCATGTACACTTGGGAGGGTTTTTTCCCTTCAAACTGTTTTTTGCAGAGTTCAGTTTCTCTCTCTCTCTGCCTCTCTCTCTCTCAGCTGGGTATGTACAAAGGAATAATTCTATTTTACTGTAGAACTCTCGGTGCCATGTCCCCAAATAAACTGAAAAGTTTACTTGAGTTGCTTCTTTCTTCATTATGGTTGTGAAAAGCAAAGTTGACCTTAACTCCTCCAGGTATATTCCCTTTCCTTCACAGTGTACCAGCTTTATACAATTATGCAAAAAGAACTAAATTACTTTTTGTAGATGTATAGAAGAATCCTTTGGCACCTCTTCGACCATATAATACCCCAAAATCATTATGACAGCAGCTAGTAGTACAATAATACTGTACAAATTCATACTCTGGAAAATTCCAAAAGTGTAAATTTTAGCTTTGGCTGCAT